ATAGATAGATAGATAGATAGATAGATAGATAGATAGATAGATAGATAGATAGATAGATAGATAGATAGATAGATAGATATTGCAAAGTACAGTATAGTTAATTAAGACAGAAGAAAGGTATGGAGCAATAAATTTGGGAATGCTAATTAGGAATGAAGGATTATTGATATGGAAATGAAGGAGATTACAAGTATCCATTTTTTTGGTCCTTTCTATCCCTCATTGAAGGATTTTATGATGGAAAGACCCAAGAAAAGTGAGCTGAACGAGGGAGTGATGGGAAATAGAAACAAAGAGAAAAATTATAGACAATTAAAGTCAAATTATGGGGCCACAGCATCAATATTAGCTGCTGAAGCTGATAATAAATCATCACTGTGAGCCTTGACAGTGGGTAATCGGCACATCTGTAATTGATACAAATTGGTAATCAGTGGGGCATTTAAACTTCAATGTGTGTGTGTGTGTGTGTGTGTGTGTGTGTGTGCGTGAACGCGCTTAAAAAAGCTTCTAGTGTTCTCATTAATGTGGAGAGGATAAAATAAAGGATAAACACATGCCTCCCTTTCTTCCAAAGCAAACATTGCAGCATCTGATTTGAACTCTGTAATTAGCGCCTCATTATCCACAGAGGGGAAATAATCTGTGAAATTAGCATCTGTGGCGGAGCAGGTTTAATAAAACTGTCATGTTCCGCCAAATCTGAAGACGAATTTAATATTCTCGTTCTACTATGTAATATTAGAGTTTAAAGCTTACCTAAAACTATAAAACTAAATAAATCTGCTTGTTTTGGTCAACCACGTGTAATTTTTACATATAGGTCACACCAGATTGGATAAGTGCCCCTTCACCCTGAAACCCATAAATAAATTCAGGTTAACAGGTTGCCCTCCTAATTGATAGAGTAACTCGAGGGAGAGCAAGAGAGACAGAGAGGGAGGGAAAGGGGGAGATTATTTTATCCTTTTTCATATATTTATATTTAAATATCTCTAATGAGAGCAAAGTCGATGAACTGACATAGATAAGAACAAGTAAAATTTTCTTTTTCTGCACAAATTCTGGTAAGAAGTCGTCTTTTCAATTTATCACAAATTAATAGGAAGCACACGGCTTAAAAATATGTTTGATATGGCTATTCTAAATGGGTATTCACTTACACAAAACGAAAAGTCAATGGCACAAAGCAGCATAAAGTAATGAATTGTTTGTGATCTGAAAGAACACCGGCTCTTATTTTGCAGGGTAACCCAAAGATTCGGATCCCAGAACGGACCCGTCTCTCCCATCACTCACAAGAACTGCTTCGCAAACCTGTGGCTCGCTTGACGCATGCGCAACGCGCCATTGGAGGAAATGATATGAGAATTGAAGTGGGAGTTTACAAAAAGAAAAAAATCAGAGAGTTCATCCTGCCCTTTTGTTTTGCTTCATGTGATGTTGAGATAAAATTTTCTCCAAATGAAGTTCCCCCTCCTGTTTCGGTAAGGTATTGGAGGAATTTAGGGAGATAACCCAGAGTGTGCACAAGATTGGCGCAGTTTCACCGCTGGGAGGGCAACTTGGGACAGAGGCAGTTTTCACCTGCTAGCCACCGCTCCAGGAGATTCAGGTACTTTAATCAGTTTGTTTATTTTTATTAAATAAAATATTTTGCCTGGAATGTGCGTGATAGTTGCATTAGAGTATTTACCAACTGACTTTTCGAAAAGGTAGTTACTTTTTGAAGGTAGGTTCCCCAGAGTTGAACTGATTTGTAAAAAAAAAAAAAAAAAACATGTCTGCTAATGCTTAGCTACTCTGCTACCAACATTCAGATGTGCTAGCTGATGTTTTCGTAGCAGGTAGTTGCGCCGTTAAGCTGGTAGTTTTAATGCGGGGCTACTTCCTGTCGTACCTTTCAAAATAAAATCAAGTTGACGTGACAAGCGTCAATCAGCCATAGCTGAATCAATGATCGAAGTTTTTAACAAGCAAATGTTAAAACAGAAATGATTTGAATATTTACATAAATTTACCATAGTAGTTACTATAATATTATAATAGTAGTTGTTATATTTATTTTGTGTTGTGTGGAGTTTCTTATAAACAAAGAGAAGTAAATTTTGCATTACACCTCTTTTAGTAATGCAGACAGCTTTTATAAAGTTTGCGTACATCTTTGTTGTGTTATGGGGGTTTCACATATACAAAAGTAATTAAAAATTGTCAGTAATGAACTGCTTTAATAGTGAAGACCTGGGAGATCTCAACCAAACACACTTCCCAGACAAAGACCATTAGGCAAAAATACTTTTATTTAACTTAAAAACATATTTTGGCCTACCACATTGAACTTTTAATGGATCTTGAAAGATAAAAATATTTAAAATGGCTTAGATGTCAGTTTCAACTCATCTTTGGATTAAAAAATAAATAAATGAAGCATTCCATTTTGAAATTATCTATGGATTTCCCTCATCATGTGGTACCCCTGGGTAAAAAGTCATATCTCTTTAACAAAAACGCCAATTAAGGTTTTCCTTTTTTTTTTTTTTTTTTTTGAAAGGACCTTCAGTATACTACTATCGTAGCGCTTCATCTTTTATTTTGAAGGGAACATATCCTTACTTCCGCTACGGATCTGCTGTTTGCAGTAGCTTTGTCCTCCTCCCTCGAACAAACGCCAGCCAGACTGGCGCCGCTAGTAAGCAAAAGAGCGAGAAAGGCTAAACTTTTCTTTTACCGAAGGCATATTAGGTTTTTTTTAAACATCGCCCTTACCTGCAGATTTCCCCGTCGTCCTCATTTATTTGACGGTGAGCCAGTGTTATCCGAGTTTATCTTATAAATGAAAATTGAAGAGTTGCAGAAAAGCGCTCATGCCTTCTGCACGCCACTCAGACTCGACAAAATTAGGATTTATTTGAGGAATCGCTGTTATCCTTTTCTATGTTCTGTATGAGCGACTTATGTGTTAATGTGATAACATTAGTGTTGAATCAAAGTAGGACTTTTGACCCTAGTTAACCCGCTTTGTTGCTGAAATTAGATGCTTTACATTAAATTTTCTTCTGTGAAGCATGGAAAGTGTGGAAAGGCATTTGTGTTTTCAGACTTTACGATGTGTTCAGTATTCCTAAAGATAAAAATGAGGATTTCTAAATATAATTTTCCCTAAAAAAAAACAACTAGTAGTTTTATTTAGACTGATTACATTAAAGAATTGGAGGACGTAGTAAGAAATTCAGGATTCCAGCAGGAAAGAGATGGTCAGGTGGAACACATCTGACCGTCTAAAATTGTAAAACTGAACAATTTATTCAGTGGTGTAATTTATGGGAAATATATCTTTTGTTGTACAAATTATCTATAATAAAATTTGCCTATTTAACATGTATTTTTACATTTGTGCAAACAAAACAATGTGAAAGACTGTAGACACGTATGTTGAATGCAAGTAATATAGCAACACAAAAACCTGAGTGTAATAAAAGTATGGTAAACTACAGCCTAATAACTGCTCTGAAATGACTGTGAATACATGTATTTAGTTACACGTCTCCTCCTCATAGATCCTGCCACGTCTCTCCTTGGAGCATGAGAGACCCGAGGTCACACAGCTAATAACAAACTTTATTTAAAAAGGAACGGTTTACTTCCCGAACGTAAATGTCACCATTTCACGCTCTGCACCAGATTATAGCACAAGCTAATTCGCATCTACAGTCTCTCATCAATTGCGTCATTTTTTTCGCCCTGTTTGTGAAAAAGTCCAGATGACGATGTGAAGCGCTCGACGCGCGGCCCAGTTGTTTTTCCTCAGGAAGTTGCGGTACAACCTCCCAGCTAAGATGTCCATCGCCAGCACACCCACCAGCAACGACGCTTGCCTGAGCATCGTGCACAGCCTGATGTGCCACCGGCAGGGCGGCGAGAGTGAGACGTTCGCCAAACGGGCCATCGAGAGCCTGGTGAAGAAGCTGAAGGAGAAGAAAGACGAGCTGGACTCCCTCATCACGGCCATCACTACAAACGGCGCCCACCCGAGCAAGTGCGTGACCATCCAGAGGACTCTGGATGGACGACTGCAGGTGATGGACCCCAACTGAGTAATAGCTAGCGGACTCCAGTTGTGCAGGGCGTTTGGACGTAGTTGGCTCCCGCTTCAGTTTGTGAAACAAAACGAGGTTGTCAACCATTATCTAATTCCAAGCTTCTCTGATGGTTCTTCAGGTTGCGGGGCGTAAAGGGTTCCCTCATGTAATCTACGCTCGGCTGTGGCGATGGCCGGACCTGCACAAGAATGAGCTGAAGCATGTGAAGTACTGCCAGTTTGCCTTTGACCTGAAGTGCGACAGCGTGTGCGTCAATCCCTATCACTATGAACGAGTGGTGTCTCCTGGCATAGGTGAGCCACGCCAGCTTTTAGATTGAGTTTAATTCACTTCAACGAAGCATCACTTTAAAGTGATGGTCGGGTTTTCGTCGACTCGTTCTGGTCATGAAGGTCAAATGAACGTCGACTCTTCCCAGCAGAATTGGAAACTCATTCAAACTGGTTTGTTTCCGGCCACGGTTCTGGCTTTCGAAGTGAGAGCTGTGGAGAGTGCAATCGTAAGCGATATCTTCATTTGTCATTGTCTTAAAAAATTTAGAATAATTATGTAAAAAAAGAAAATATGACAGGTTTATTCAATTTTTTTTTTTTTTACTATTTTCTCCATTGTTTGTTCCATGACAGCATCAATAAATATTAGTAAATATGAAACTCTGAGTATGTGATTAAATGCAGCTACTGTGTGCATTTTAATCACACTTCTTTAAGTAAGAAGAAGTCTGAAGAAGTCAGTTTCAAACGGTTTTCAAGAACAGGATAATTGTTTGTGGCGTTATGAATGCTGGGTTAGGGTTTTATTAAAAAAAAGAACTAATAAATACTTTTCTATCATATTTTTTTTTATCATTATCAAACGGTACCACAAAATATCCAGTCCATATCGCCTACCTCTGACCTCAACCAAAACTTCCATCTCTTTGTGGGTTAAATTTAAACTAGTGCACCCAGATATTGTTTTCTTTAAAAAATAAAATAAAAAATTAAGCTTGTTTTTGAGCCATCATTTCACCTCTCAACACGAACAGTTCAAATAAATCAATGACATCCCAAAATTAACGACATTCATGCCAACAATGGGTAAACTTCAGAGGAGTTCTGTGTTTGAAGGCAAAAAGTGTTTTAAAAGGAGGAAATCCACTTTGTTGTGATCATTTCAATCCAGCTTGCCTTCCTGCCTCCGGTCGGTCCTTCAGATTTTGTTTTCATTTCAGCAGCTCATATCCCGTTCTGTCGCTCCGCAGACCTCTCAGGCCTCACGCTGACCGGCTCCGGACCCAGCTCCTCGCTGATCGTAAAAGACGAGTACGACTTCGACGCGCCTCCGACTCTCCCCGCTGTCGACGGTGGACACTCTCTCCAGACCATCCAGCACCCCCCGTCCGGCAGCCGCCCGCCTCAGGCGGAGCCGTACCCGACCCCGAGCCTGCTTCCGCCCGCCGAGGCGTCCACGTCGGTCTCCGCGCAGTCCTTCCCTGCCATCCCAGCAGGATCAGGCAGTAAAGGCGGTCGCAAGCTGTTCCCCTTGGTCTGCTTGGAAATGTAGCTTTTTCTTACCTTTCCATCTGTATTCCCCCCCCCCCCTCCCCACAGGTGCCAGCTCCAACTGGTCCAGGAACAGTGGCTTCCCCCCCAGCGTACCTCACCACACCAATGGTCATCTGCAGCACCACCCTCCAATGCCACATCCAACACACTACTGTAACTTTAAGCCGAAGCTTTACCTTCGTCAGTCGATTTGTGCCATAATTTGCCTTTGCTTTGTAAAACGGCGATGTTTTTTTTTTTTTTTTTCCTGTCAGGGCCGGTGCACAATGAGCTCGCCTTTCAGCCTCCGATATCCAATCATCCAGGTGTGAATAAATCCTGTCAGGTTCAGTGTAAAAACATGTTTTTTATTTTCTTGTTTGTGTTTTGATGAGCTGACCGCTCTGTCCTGCCCTTCAGCGCCTGACTACTGGTGCTCCATTGCTTATTTCGAGATGGACGTCCAGGTCGGGGAGACGTTTAAGGTGCCGTCTTCCTGCCCCATTGTGACGGTGGACGGCTATGTGGACCCCTCAGGAGGGGACCGGTTCTGTCTGGGCCAGCTCAGTAACGTCCATCGTACTGAGGCTATTGAGAGAGCAAGGTGAGACACTCAAGGTGGTTTCAGAACTTTCCAGGTTTTTACTGGCACTACAAAATGGTATTAAGGCAAATATATTTATCCCCTATTGTACTGCGTCAGTGTCGAACTTTAATTCGAATCTTATTTCTCCTTTGCTTCCTTTCTCCTGGCCTGTCTTGTGTCTCGTTTCCTTCCCTCCGTCCCTCTTGCCGTTCATTCTTTCCTTTCTTCCTTGCGTCATTCTTTCCATCCTTGTATTTCCTTCATCTTCTTTCCCCCCCCCCCCCCCCGGGCTCAACACCGTGAAAGGAGCCAGGTGGGGGGCGAAGGGGGGGGGG